AAGTCGGATAGCAACTTCACGTGGTAAATTCTCTTCTGTTCCTCGTCCTGTGGGCGTTAATTCTCATCTTATTTCCTACTATGAAAGTATACCAATACTAAGTATAAATGTGCCTCAGTTACGAGATCTTATAACAGACGACGACCACTCCGCCAACGGTCAGACGACTACTCGCCTAAGTACGGATCTTGGCCAGGTGTTCCATGTGTCACACATTGGCGTCAGTAGACGATGACCCGTCCCGTATTCAAATCCAGTAAGGCCCGAAGGCTGTAGCGCACACATGGGTGACGGGGACTTAACGGTAGCAACCAAGGCTTCTCTGTGTCGCCACTCACAACGAGAAAAGTCGAATCGCGACATCACAACTGCCTCCGCATCAATAGATGCCGAGTGCTGGGAGTGCTGAGACGCCATGATGTCCAGTCTCCTTGGTCAACGCACTCTCACAGCTAAGCGCGCTTTGAACCAGTCGCCTTCTCAGCCTGCGTCGGTAAGTGTTCGTCATTCCTAGTCATATCTTGCCGTTGAGTCAGATCACGTAGTGCACTTCATCGTAGCCTTCTCCACCAACTTCTCTTGCTGCACCACCAAACTCTGCAGCTTCTCAGCCTTCTGCATCTCCTGTCATGTCGCCTCCGAATTTTGCTGTCACCGTTTCTCAGTTTGATGTGTCTTCGTGAACTGTCGAGTCACTTCCTTTCAATCAGGTACGCCTTGTTTCCTCCTATTATTCTCCAATTCATCATTTCACGCTCAAGGCCTCTGGCTACATGTCTCCACAGGGTGCCTCGACTTCGCGATCGTGCCGTACTCGCCATACGTCAAGTCCTGCTGAAGAAAAATCCACGCAGACTACTACTCACACCATTCCGCCCTTACCGGCATGTATAAAGCACTTGACTGTACCCTTGGAGAAGAACTCAATCGACCCAATGAGGCGTGTTTGTCATGTTCATGACAGCAGATTGATGGACCTGTGTCTATTTACTGGCGAACTACACTGGGGTCCTGAAGTGCGAGGTCATTCTGAGTTCGCTCAGCGTGTACGTGAGGCGACTTCGCTCCAGCAATTGCTCGCGGCAACTGCTTGTCCCAGCATCGTGGTGCAAGATTCTCTGATTCGTCAACTGGCTGATACTCGCGCTCAGCGGAGTTCCTGTGTCGAAGAACGGAGGTGTATCACGAACAAGCTCTTCAAGGTGCATCGGAGACGAGGGGCTACGGAGCGTTTGCTGCGTGTGGCCACCACGGAGCGTGAGGCTGCTGAAATTGAGGCTAAGCGGATCAAGGTCCGGAAGATCTCGCTTCATCGACGGTTTTGTGACATGCAGGCAACGCTTCACGGCTACCTAGACCTGTATGATACGCTGGAGAACCGGCTAATGCTCGTTCTCTGAGTCGGCAGAATTATTCAAGGTTTTGAAGATTGCTCGAGAGGTCTACAAACGCGAGATTGTCGCGTAGAAGGCTTCGTACGATCGTCTCCATCAGGTTCTCTCACTAACGTATCCGGTGGAAGAAACACTGACTCACAAGCTCCGTGTCCGCAACCAAGAGCTCGTGTCACAGAACAAGCGTTTGCAGAAAACCGCTTCTTCTCGTCGGTCGAGAATTTGTCTCGCTGAAATGGATCCTGAGACGCTGGTGTTGATGGTTGAAGGTGAGTCTTCGTTCTTAGTTTTCATTCGCATTCACTCACTGACTTGTCGTTCCATGTAGGTCTTGAAAGCTCGGCTTATGAGCAACTTTGGTTGGAGTACCAACCGAAGACTTGGTTGCAGCGGGCGGCCTCGTGACTGAACCCAAACGCGAAGACTTGGTGCTGGAATCGGATCGTTTAGCACCAGGAAAATTATCTGCAACAGTCGGAGATCCAATATTCGGGATATCTTCCAGCCACTCAGTCTCAGGACGGAGCTTAGCCATCTTCCGATCTACGTCATCACTTGAATCAACATTTTCTGAAGCAGAAGACGCCAGATCAATCGGATCCTGGGGCTTCGCCTCGGGATCCAACTCGCCACCCCAAAAGAGGGATTCATTAGGCGATGGGACGTCTGCAGAAATGGGGGACACCGGGCTGGATTAGGATCATCAGAATCATCCAGGCCTCGACGGACGGACGATGACTGAGTCATGCGCGCCGTACCAATGGCGTGAGCATCAGATGTATCTTGAAACTCATAGTGCAGGCACGACCGGAACTCTGAACGATGAGCAGCAGTACGATTCGGCACTGATCGAGGACTGGGATGTTTAGAAGAAGTAGCCTTGGAATCACGACGACCGGTTGACTTCGACGAGGTCTTCCGAGGGAATCTTTAGTATTGGAGCCCTTGGACTTACCAGCCTTCTTGGATGCAGATCCTTTCGGTGTAGATGGAGCAGCCACATCATTTGGAACATGGAGAAAACGCTGTTGCTTGGTGGGAGAAGGGTTGATAGCTCCACAGCGACTAGGAAAACGAGGGCTCGCGTGCATACCAGTTCCACTAATCCTGATCTCCCTCCGCTCATCTCGCAAACACTATTCTCGTGGAACTCTTCCATCGTGCTGCAGCCAAACCCAAGCAATACGTTGGCCCTCCAACGATGACTCACGTGGAGCTTTTTGTTGGATTAAACTAGAAGAGTCTTCCCTTCCGGAACCATTGAGACCAGATGCTCTACGAAGACCATTCCCGATTTTGAAGCTTTTATGAATGAGAATCATCCGTGGCGCCAAGGTCTCTCAACCTGGCCCGAACGCCCATGTGTCACGGACACGGAGGGATTTGAGATTGACATGCACATTTCTCAACGTGTCAATTTGGCTTGGAAGGCTTATGGAATTTGGCGTCGATGTAGCGGTTATGGTGACGAACACTCGAGTTCACTTAGCTTTGGAGGTTCTGAGCGTAAACACTGGGTCGATGTTCGCGCTGTGGAGCGGTATTTCTTCGCGTTGTCACGCGGAATTGCTAGCATGCCTGGCAAGAAAGCGCGTCTTCGCGCCAACAATTCTTGGGAGCAACTCAAGAAGATTTGGGCGTCTTATCATTCCAAGCGCGCTGCTCGTGCTGACAATCTCTGCCAATTCATCCCTAATAGTATCTAGGCCTGGTGTGCCCCAGTTGATGTTCCACTTCAGGTACAGATTATGCTCGAGCCCACAATATCCATTTATTCACTGGAGAACATGACTTGGGTTCCGAAAACAGACGACTGGTGTACAGAGATTGTTGCATTGGATATTGCTGTGCCGTGGCGTGCTGGTTGACTTTCCTGCCCGGACAAGCATTCTTAGAACACCATCTACGTTCCATGCAATCACCATACCCGTCTCTTTCTTCCTGCTGGAATTACTGTGGAGACCGTGGGTCCTTTAATCATCTCAGACCATTCGTTGAACCCCAAGTACATTGATCCATAATGAGATCGCTTTTCCGTGTTAAAGAGTTGGAAGAAGAGGAGCCAGAGGAAGGTGAACAAGAAGAAGAAGACGTTGAAGAGGTTACATCGCCAGTCCATTTTCTCTAACACCGTCGGCGGCCGGCTCATAGGTTTCTGTGGAAAGCTTCCTGACGAAGACATGGATGAGGTGTCTACCGCAACCGTCCTTGCGAGCATCTATGGCGACCTCAATCTCGAGTGATCGTTGCCAGTCGTTCTGGCCAAGCTTCCATTTATGCGTTTGTTTGTTGTCACAGTGCAGTGTAGTTTGGGTACATTCATCTTTCCTTTAAGTTCAATCATTTGTGCTTTGTTCTAGGTTTTCATACATAGAGCAATCATGAATCTTTTGGATAGCTGTAGTTATTTTCTTCTGCAAATGTGAGCTGCTCCGCATTACATTCAGATCATCCACCGAACTTTCGTAAGTTTTCGTATGCAACTCGCACTATTTGCAGTCGATGTTCACTTTTCTTCTTTCGCAAATAGTCATAGAGCAATCCGCCGCATGTCAAAATTTGATGCTGATTCCCACGTCATCTCATCATATCCAACCCACTTGACTTCGAATTCTCGCACTGGTCTGGCTGTGCTAGTGGTCATGGGAGTTCGGTCATTTAAGATTGCTTCGACTTCACATTCTTCTGCAATGTGGTCCGGTTCCTAGCTATCTTCTGGCAATAATTTCTCGTCGAAATTCAAGCATGAACTTTCAGTGACATCTTGGGTTAAACGAGTCTTAGTCCGGTCGCAGTATTTATTGATCGCGATACGTGGACTACTGGGTAGAATCGGCAGCCCCTATTGTCCGGAAATTCCAACTCCTATGCAAATTCTTCCACTTTCGTTTTTACTCTGAAGTGACCTTGCCATCGGTGTGCTAGCTTCTTCACCAATCCAGGTTTCACGCGTTCCATATAAAGCCACACTCTGCTTCTCGGTTGGAACAGTTATTGTGTTGCTAAGTGGTCGTCGGGCGAGTGTTCGTTCGGGTTTCTAGGAATTGCTGCTTGTTCTTTTCGACTGAGCCGGTCAGTATGGATATGTGCACGTCTTGCCTTTTCCGTTGCCTGGTATTCCTTCGCCATTTCCAGAGCAAATTGATGTTGGCGATTGATCTATCTTCGCCATGCGAATGCCTCAGTCTGTTTCCCTACACCTCGCTTCAACGACGTAGTCATTGCTCGTAACGTTGTATGAGCATTCCAACCGCGTACAAGGTAAAATGGTGTCTCCTTCCGAGTCATATCGTGAGAGTTGTTGATCACGACTACTAGTCGCTCGATCCTCCACATAACGTTTTACTGATTACATCACTGCCTTCACCGACCGCTCCTGCTGACCATTAGCTTGCGGACGATAACTCAGTGTGGATCGAGATAGTGCACTCATGAACCGTGGATCGCGGTCATGACGTATTAAAGATGGAGCGCCAAATCGTCGATAAATGCATTCTTCAAATACTTTCGCCACTGTTAGCATGTCTGTATCTGACATTGCTTTCGCTATAACAAACGCAGTAAATGCACATTGCCAAAAGAGTAATGCCGTATTACCTCGTCGAGACTTCGATAACGGACTACAAAGTCCATATATACCACTTGAAATGGTCGTTCAGCAAACACGTTTCCTGACCCATATCCTTTGAGCTACAGTCTAGACATGACTTGACGTGTTTCTCCACATCCACATAGAGTCCAATCCAGTAATAATTTTGTTTTACTCTCTGGTATGACCGAACTACACCATGGTGCCCGCCTTCGATAGAGTCGTGACTATTTGGAGAACCTCCTGGATCATAGTTGTAGATACAACTAGTCTCAACGACAGCTCGGCTTGGTCTTCGGCCAGTTTACGTCGGCTTGGGCCCACGTAATATAGGATATTATCACTGGATAGTACAAATTTGTCTGTCCATTTCCATGCTTCTCGGACCTCTGTATACGTCATTTTCTCTGTATCTCCTCTGAGGACAGTTTTCATCACTGACCAACGTTGTTCTTCATCTTGAGCAACCGCTATACGTCGCCGTCGTTCTTCTTGGACTGCTGTTGGATCAATGTCTTCAGCCCTTGGTACACATTGGGCCTTGGCTGATAGTCTGGCTGCTTATGGGGTCGGTTCTTTTCTGATTGCCTCAGTCATAGTATCGAGTTCGAGTGTTGCATTTTCCTTTTCACGTGGTAGTTCATCTTCAAAGTGGACTCGTATTCGGTCGATAGGGTCATGCCTGCGACCGTTTCCTTTACATGAACAGATTTCGAGGAATCCGGGTCATGTGTCCTATGGTCGTCAGACGAAGTGTCATAGATCGTTTTTTTGAATTCTGTTCAATTCTTGGAGTTCCAACTTCCGATGGTCACTCAGCACTACTTTCGGCGCTTTGGACTTCAAGGCTTTATCTGCAAGCGAGTCGGCCCCAGCGTTGTATTCCCGTTAGACGTGAAGATACTTAACTGGCTTGAGCTTGGCAGTGAGTTCTTGGTGGCGATTAAGAATATAACTAGTGAATCCTTCAGACATGCGATCACCCCTAATGATTGCTTGAATGCGAGCGTTGAATCGTCGACTATGACTAATCCTTCGGCACCGTATTCAAGGGCTGCTTGGACCACGTTGTTAATCGCGGTGTATTCCGCCATATTCACGGTAGCAGTTTCACTGTAAGGACTCGCAGCTATCACTATTCACCATTCAGGAAGTATCCAAAGAATCCATAGCCACCGTTCTTTGCAGTCCTAGCTGAGCCATCGAAGGACATCGCATATCCACGAAAGCCAACTGATAGTTGAGCATACAGCAAACTGGGATCCATTCGAGTGTTCGGCGAGCCTCTGGTAGGTGGTGCTACCATAGCTAACGAGTCGTCGAGGTCTACGAAATTAGTAATTGTTGACTGTGGCAGTTGCGAAAACTCGCTGTCTTCTCTTTTATCCTTTCCGCTTCTAGTTCCCACGGTGACAACAGCACAGCGAACTGCATAGCCCTTTCAAACAACGACTTCGACTTGTGCACCCATGCTAATGTTGAAAACCTGGTATACACATGTAGGTTCTTTTCAGCAAGTTGGATGTAGCAAACCTTTCACTCCGCAACAACAAAGCAAACACTGTTTTTTCTGCTGAGTGATAGTTCATCTCAGCATCCTTGAGCACTTGTCCACAAAATCGAACATGGTGTAACTTGTCGTCAACCATTTGCATCAATACTGCACTCAACGCCCATTCATTTGCATATAGCATAACAAGGACCTCCTTATCATTGTTAAAATGTCGAAGTATGGGTGTCAGGCAATCATCAAACGTTGTACCCCGAAACAAATATCATCCACGAACGATCGACACTGAAAACTTGAAATTAAGACCGACTGATCCGGTTCGTTAGTTGCGAACATATCTGCTGCTGCAGTGTTTACCATCCTTAGAACAGGATCAGTCTCCAACAACCAGTCACGATCAGCCTTGAAAACTTCTTCCAGCCACCTTGAGGCTGAACAAACCCCCACAAAGCATTTTCATTTATTCTCTGGTAAATCATGGGAACATTCTTAAATCCGAACGGCATTCGTAACCACTCGAAGTTACCTAACGCACAAAAAAGGCCCAAATCCTCCTAGCCCTCATTGTCATCAGGATCGCCCAGAATGTAGCTTTCCAATTCGGTCAGTAGATCGTCTACCATAGGCATGGCGTATTCCATCACTGTTGTAACGTAATTCACCATTGTGTAGTCAATGCATAACCGAATATCTTGACCGTTCTTCAGTACGATGACAATTGGCGATGCCCACGGGATATTAGGAAATGCGATGAGTCCTGCCGTGAGCAGGCGCTTGAGTAGCTCATATAACTTTTTGCAGGAATCAAAGCGGTATTCTGCATGCCTTTTGTTAAATAATCTATATCCCAGACAACCCATAGGCTGGTGGTGGAAGTGCATTACCACTTGATATCATAATGGACTCGTGTTTCTTGAGTATGTCGATCAACCATTATTGTTGAGTACAATCTCAGCGTTCTTGACATTTGGTGAGTCGTAGTCTAGATTGCGACACTGGGTTCTACTAAGTCTCGTAGAAATGCCAACTCACGCGCGTAATCTTCTAACGAAATGTATTTCGCGTCATGGATAATATAGTCATCATCATCGTCTTCTTGATTTCCTTCATGCAGATAACGCTTGAGTTCCACAAACATATGTCAGTTCTAATTCATCCATTTCTGCCTCAGATGTAGATATTACACAATGAGGCGTAGTGGATGAACTAGTGTCACTACTTCCGTCACCCTTGTCTGGTAACTCCACTGATACTCGATCTGCCAGTGAATTACGATTCTCGTCTATTGTTGTATCCAGCTCACTACCGTTACTTAGAGTCATAGTCGCAATCATTACTTGTTCTGCGGTGGGAACAATCCCAGCCTCCCCACCTAGTTCCATATTTAGGCTATCTTTTCAGTAATCAAGTTCATCAAACCGTCCTTCCTCATAACTTGATGATTCGTCTGCCACTCGCTGCATAATACTAGTGGGTGGGGTATATGTTCGTCGGTCGACAGCGGGGGTTGAGAGCCATTGTTCATTCAAGTCATATTCTCGTTGAAACAGAGTTTTATTACGTGACCCCGCATAGGCTAGGACTTGCCATTCTTCATATTTAAGCGAGTCTATTGGTACAGAACCAACCATCTTCGGCATATATCGTCGTGGTACCCAGACTATGACTTGTGAATGGGCACGGTAAAACACGGCCGTGTCGGTAATATTGGTCAATCGGATTTGAATTGGTTGACCCAGATTGAACTTAGTTATCGTTAGGACTAAGGATGGAGTCGGGCGAATCCACACGCCGTGTGTTCATACCGATGGTTTCATTTTTGCAATATGAACCCCGAATATTGGCCCGCCTGGATATGCAGACTCTCAGTCGGACCTCCACACACATGTCGCCCTTCAGCAATGTCATCCTCCCAGCACTGCGCTTTGATCAATAGAACATTTTTTCTCCGAGTAAATTAGCATTGCCATTAAACAGATCCAGTCGTATACCAGCCGGCATCATGAAATCAGTGCCGAGTACTACATCGGCCTCGCACTACGCTCCATTACCCAAAATTCATATTCATAAACCGTAATCCACCCAAAAGTGATTTTAGCAATTACTCGCGTAGTTGTATTCATTCTTCCTCTCTTGATACCTTGCACCTCCAGTTGTCCTTAATGGCCTTCGACTCTTTTCAACTTCAGTCTTTGGGTAAGCTTGGTCGTTATGATGCTGACATTAGTTTCAGTATCTAAAAGTATTGGCGTTCTTACGGCATTCACTGCTCCTCGAACGTGCGCTCGCATCCGAATTCGTCGATCGAACTCACCACCCATTTGTTCTCCTGGCAACGGCTGCACCATTTTGGGGTTACCAGTAGTGATTCCATTCACTTCTGTAACACTTCCGTTCCGGTGATCCTTAGTTGTTCCGAGCTCATTCACTCCACGTTCCACACATAATTCACCTCCAGTAAGACTTGTGTCTCGCTCCTTCAACGTGCTAGTCATATTCATACAGTAATCCTTGCCTTCGTTCGGCGATTCGCACTTACCAACAAACGGGTAGATACGTCGATTACTGGTTCGGCTGACTGTGGCTGACCGGTAGGGACCAACCCATTCTCGGTTGGCGGGGAGCCTAGTTTAAATGCCCACCGAAGACAAGTTTCTGGAGTTCCGGACTGATATTCTTCTTATCCACATTTGTCCGGAGAAGCTTCGCATTTGCCGAAGTCATGCACTCGTTGGGACAGTCGGTAGTGTCTAGAACAATAGTGCGCGGAATGGTTCTGGCCTCCATATGCTGCAGATGGGTCATATTGGGGACGCTGGAATCGACGTCCTCCCTTTATTATCGGTAAACCTTGAACCATTTCCATTGTTGTAACCGGGGCCATTCGGGTTGAACCCGACTTGAGGCGGTCCATTCTGTTGAGGACGTTTGGCCCTTCTAGAGAACGCCCCATTAGCTGCTTCCCAACGTTCATTATCGTTTGCAGCCGCTAGATGTCCTACTTCGTAATCGCGCACACGTTCTTTGCTAGGTTCTTCTTCTTGCGAGTAATAGTCCACTAAATACTCCCCTGCGCCCTCGTCGTCACCATCACCATACTCGTTGTGGTACTCGTTCGAGTATTCGTTCTTATCTTTCAAGATCGTACGAGTTTGAAGCTCTGAAATGAGAGCTTTAGCCTCGCGACCTCCATTCTCAAATTATACGTCCCACTACGCGCGTACCCATTCAACCGATTCAAGTAGTCTCAGAGGTGTTCCTTGTCCGACCGCTTAGCTCGGTAGTATCGGGGGCTAGCTGTCTGGCTGAACTGAGAGCAGTAATAGCTTATGAATTTACTGCTCAATAGTTTCCAATCACGCTTCGTCTTGCGTGATAGCGCTCGGTGCCCGTGAACAGCTCCATCCCTGAGACTTAGTTGGAATATCACACACCATTCATTAGGCGGAGGGTGATCTCGCACACGAACCCTCGTAGCCATTGCAACGCGATCTCACTCTCATCGAGTTTTCCTTCGAATGGGACGATCTTCCCCAACGGTCGGTGCGGAGCTATTTTGAATATCGGAGTAGAGTTCTCTGACTCCATATCATACCAATCTCGGATTTGCTAAGCTAACTCACTCGTGTGATCGTTTCCATCTCTTCCGAAGCCATTTGGATCATAATATTCGCCGTCAAATAAGCTATCGTCTTGAACTTGTCGTCGTGCAGATCGACGTCCAGTTCCTCAAACTTCCTGGTCTAACTCCTTCGTGACGCGAGTTTGGCGACTTGCTGAACGAGGAGTCACCATGTGCGAATCCAGAAAGTATGGTGATCGCTCTGCAGAACCAAACGTTTCCGTTTTTTCTTAGGGATTTGAGGTAGCGGAATATTAGCTGGGTTCACGC